ATCGCCTGTGTCTTTTATTTGATTGCTTCGACAATTGTGAATACAGAACAGAATGTAATAAAGCAGTTAATACCGAAAGTTGATCTGGGAAATGGTAATATTGAAGACATATTTTCATTCGTTATTTCAGAATATTTTTGACGTCGCATTTAATTATCAACCTCAATTGATCGTTTTAAAATAAAGATTCTTGTCGAAATCGACTAAACGAATGTTATTCATTCGAAGAAATTTAATTTTCTGTATGAAATATTGATTAACCACATACAGACGTATTTGTCATTTTTATAATTATTTCATAATTATTTCAACGATTACAGTCGCCTGCCTGCGAAGTGTAAAAAGAATTCAGATTTATTCTTATTTATCACTGTTTAATCATTTCGTCGTGCGCAATGGCGTAGCAACAATAATGTCTAAAGGTGAAACGAAACGAACAATGATCTTCGACGAATTCAATTTCCTTTCAGACGAGGTGCCCCGTGTAAAAATCAAAGTATTCCAAAGTCCATCTAAAGTACAGAACGGGAAGCAATATACTACTTGGGGATTTTGGATAAAGCAACCAGCCGAGACAGACTTGTCGCATTAACGCATCATCGTCCGAATCATTAGTGTTTCGTTTACTGCTGACCTATTTAACCGTTCGCACTCGAGACACCTCTCACTCGCCACTTGATTTTTAACCCTTTGCGGACGAATGTCGGCATTTTGCTGAGATCGAACTTCCATGTTTGGAATACTAAGTTGTGAACAAATGATTTAACTGTTCGAACAGCAAGAAATCAGTACACAGTTTCCTTATTCAAAGGGTTAACCCTTAGCACTCCAGATGGTTTTGTAATATATCAGCAACTGCAACTAATTTTTATGGTATCTCTAGTGAAAATGAAAAATGCCATAACATACCTTCGATCTTTTACCAATAAAAATCTAATAATTAATAATAGAAAATCTAATAATATTAGGGTAGTTTCTTTAATTCGTTAAAATATTTAATATAACTTGTTCAATATTGGAGCCTACAGAGTTCAAAGGGTTAATATAATAAAATTATAAAATCTTATCTGTAATATTAAATCTTGCATAATGCATGAACACGTAGAATATTGAAACAAAATAGCTTTCTTATTAACTTCTGTATGTTTTCTCTATAATTTCAAAGGATATCGTCAACATCTGATCGAAAAATGTCGAATATATCGAGTGAAACACTTTCGAGTGCGAAGGGTTAATCCTTCGAACGCTTCAGAATGATCAAGAGCTAATATATTTATCTAGAACACGAGAAATATTGTAGTTTTACAAATTTTTATTACGTCTTAGTTCGAAATGTTCTTCGTGGAAATTCTTTGGATTTGCGAAGGAGTACGACACCAAATAAATTAGTTTCTTAAATTAAATGTATTGTAACATCATTGAAATACATCCTCTTTATATCGATGTATGGTAAATATAAATCATCGATTACAGATTATTTTTTATACAGTGGATTGTTGGGATTCATCTGTTTGCCATGATTATTCAAGTCGCTTTTCGTTCCAGCCCCATGGTAACCGGCATAACGACCAGGCCCAGTTTTCTCATGAGTTGGATTGCATTGATTGGTCCTGTTGGCTTCTTGTTGTTTGTCCATCTGTCGAAAGAATCAAATTCTTTGAATGTTTAATAAACAAACAAAAGTATGTACTACTTAACCCCTTGCTGTATTATTTACTTTCGCTGCTGCGCTCGCGTAGCATTTTACTATCAGCAATTTGGAAGAAATGTAACAAAATTTTCTGTTTTACTTCAAGTGGAAATTTCATTTGATACATTGACAATAGCAAAATAGCTTTTTGCTTCGCTCCGCGGGGAATGAACAACGTTGAGTTTCGATAAATTAATCTAGAAATCCTCATCGCGAGTCTCACTCGTCATTGTATGGCAAGGGGTTAATTAACATTATTCCTACCGCGAGCAGTCAAATGACTTTTTAAAATTTCGATTAGAATTTCCTATAGACAACGTAATTGAATCGCCTTTATACTTCACGACTTTTCCTAAAATATATGTATAAAACGTTTTTTAATATTCACTCCTTTTTATATTGTTTATTTTCTGAGAAAAATTTGTAGTCTGTCTTACCTACCACGACCGGCCATTTGACTGGTAGAACGATTTATATCTTTTTGTAATAGTATTCTCTCAAAGACTCAATTCCGAAACTATAAAGTCGTTACAAACGAAAGGTAATGCAGTTGTGGCATGATTTTAGCCAAAAAATGCCTTTCAGGGACTGCTTTACGGTACTCCCAAGTGTTTACAGTTCTCGCTCGCCTATCAGCCTCGGTAAAATCGGTCAAATCTAAATGTCGGAGATGGCCTTTACAGGTATTTTTTAATATCCTAAAATTAGCCGGGATAAATGCATTGATTTTACATAAAGAATCCATGGGAGAAGAAATTTCGAGGCAGGAATTTTTATTTCAATTGGCAGAAGAACTTGCCATTGAATATCAAAGAGAGAATATCAAAACCTATTTGTAAAAAATGCGATGAAAACGAATAAAATGTAAATGATATACTTCTAAATAAAATAAACTATATTTGTACACTGTCAAATTGGCTGTTATCATCATTCTATATTAAAAAATATAAGTTGTACTAAAGACCAGTCATTTGACTGGTTGCGGTAGGAATAGTGTTAAAGAATTGTGATAATAAAAAGAATGCCAAGAAGATTGCAATATATGTATATATTATTATGTATACTACATGTATGTAACAACTGAGAGAAAGGATCAGTGTATGTAAACACGTTACATCTGTCCAATTTCATTTAACTTTCTCGGTGATTTCGAAACAGATGGAAATGATTTTAAATTCTGTTTAATTGAAGTTCGTGTAATACAAATGGTCAAAAGTTAAACGAAATAAATCGGATGAAGATAATTGTGACAATATCGAAAACCATCGCGTAAGCACAGGTGATCATTAAACTTTAATGTCAAACGAGGATTAAATATACGGATCCTCGATGAAATTGAAGATAGAGAATACAAAAATAATAATTAGAAAAGTATGGAGGAGATATTTTAGTACTATATCATTAGATTGTTAACTTTCAACATATTCAGCTGCTTAACGATTTTAAAAGGACTGCACTATTATATTTCACTTACCTTTTTAGTTTTTTCGTTGAAGCTTCGAGAATTCTACTTGCAACTTTGACGATCTGTCAGAATTCAGAACAGTTATGCGACAGGAACGAATTGCGCCCTGTATTTATACCTCGCATCAAGAACCGTAGAAACGTAGGGAAATCACAGATGGAAGCTACGTTGCACACGAGTATTTCGTAGCTACACGTAGGGGAATAACAGATGGAAGACTGCGCTGCACACGAATATTTCGTAGCTATACTACGAATACGATTATACAAATATCTTTGTCATGTGAACACATAAAGATAATACGCAATTTTATATTAATAAAAATTGATACAAACCGTAGAAAGAAAACATAAGTAATAGAATTAATTGTAAAATTTATAGCTATACTACGAATACGATTATATACATATCTTTGCCAGGGGAACACATAAAGATAATATGCAGTTTTATATTAATAAAAATTGATACAAACCGTAGAAAGAAAACATAAGTAATAGAATTAATTGTAAAATTTATAGCTATACTACGAATACGATTATATAAATATCTTTGCCAG